CCCCAAAACCCCAAAACCCCAAAACCCCAAAACCCCAAAACCCCAAAACCCCAGAGTTCCATTTAGGAATTGAATAAATTATAGATAATATTTAGATCAACTGAATTGAGAGATATCTCCCTTTTGATATTTCTGCGTAAGGTAATTATGATGAATTTAAATCCTTGCCTATTATCTTGATAAAGATATTAGTATAAGCCAGATCAGCTACCAATGTTTTCCCTCTTGTTATTTGGATGGTGATATCCTCTGTTTATCTTGTCTCTAGCTCAGATTCATTATTAGTTTTCTTGAGGAACTTTTTAGGAAGCAAAGTAACAGCAATCTTACAGTTCTTGCTTTTCGTACAAGATAAAAAGAGGATGTTTGCTTTATGTTCTTAAGCATAGCCTTAAGAATAGAATCTCGTCGAACAAATCGTATTATGTTAGTAATCAAGTCATCATCCTCAAGACACTTCTTTATGTTTTCACATGATCAAATCTGGTTGTTATCAAAAGTGAAGTTTTGTTTATTTGATGCCTCATAATATTCTAAATTTTTGAAGAGGACAGTAAAAGTTTTAAAAACTCAGGAAATAGTAACACAAACTTCCTGACTACTCTAAACTTTCAGACTTCAGTTCTTTTGGCTCTTTCGCATTTCCTCTTTTATCTGATTGCCTTGACTTATTTGGGTGAGGCTGACAAGCTCCTCATCTTTACAGAAGAATTCTTTCTGTGTTCTTGTTGAATAGAAGTAGATTCTTCAATTTCCTTTACTTGCTGGGGTACTCTTTACAAAGATTCTTGTTTATGATCCTCTTAAGGCTGGCTTGTTTCTTATTATTCTTCCTTTGGGACTTCAAGTTGTGCTATTCTTGTTCTCTTGGCTCTTCATACTCTTTCTTCTGATCAGGTTGATTGGCTTAGTTTTGGTGAGGTTTGTTATTCTTTTGTTTGACTTGATAAGTATACTCTGGATCTACAATTTACGAGCTCGCTTATAACCAATAGTAGTATCCAGTTGATTCATCCTCCTCTTCAATTCTTAACTTAAGAGGACTTCTTTGTGTTAAGATTCTTGAGGTTTGTTTTGGTAAATCTGAAAATGTTTATCCTCGCATCTGGGCTGGTTTCTCCAAAGTTATGGCAAGTGACCTTCCTGTTTTAAATAAACTTTAAATATTAGCTTATTGCTATTCAAGGGAATGCATTATTCATATACAGATGGTTTTTTATTTTTCTAGAAAATGATTCTGCTGTTCGATACTTATCTTCTTTGTTTCTTTAATAACTATAAACTTATTCTCTCTTCTTTTTTCAAAGAATCATTTATAAATATAACTATCTAAAGGATTTCTAAACCCCATTTGTCATATCTCAGGAATCTTTCCATTATGATAGAATGGATGCTCATTATCATTGCTTTTAACCTTAGCTTCCTTGTTGTCTTACCTAAATTCTTAACTTACCTGATTCTTAGACTCTTCCAAATAACTCTGCTCTTTCTGCTCTTTCTGTTCTTCTGTTTGTTTCAAAACTTGCTGCTACTGGGACACTTTATGACTGACTTCTTTCTGTTGTGTCTTCCTTTGCTTTAGCTGTAAAACTAATAAATCAAACTTCTTAAGCACTTATTCTACTATCAGCTCAACCCAGGCATTCTCCAGCTCTCCATCTTCCATGTTTCAAAGGTCATTGATCAAAATTTTAATAAGAACTTGCTTCATATTTCTGGTCTATAACTTCCTTGCTTGTTAAATATAAAACTGAAGTTTCTACGAGTCCAGTAGGCCCTGCCTTGTGTCAACTTTATCTCTTCAGTGGCTTTATTATACCTAAAAGGGTTAAATATCAGGTGCATTATAAGTGCCTTATAATTTATTTAAAACGAATAATTATCTTTCAACCTTTTAGCTATAAGAAGGGGTTTTGGGGTTTTGGGGTTTTGGGG